TTATCGTCGTAAAGATTTACTATAAATCTTGTATATTCTCTAAGGATGGAATATTATTCGTCTTAGCTAACAAACAAGATGGGACATTTTTCATAGTTCAGATCTTCAGAAATATTTTTCAACACGAGTTGCAAAAGCTAATCCAGATGTAATGGGTGACCAATTATGAGAAGTTTCACGTCAACCAGAAGCTTATCCAGTTCACTGAGGCAATTTTCAGAAGATCTGTAGACGGAACAGTCAATACCATCTTCAAAAGTCCTAAAAATGTTCCTAGTTCGACCACCTCAATCTTCCAGTCTATAATGATAACGTAAGTCACCAAAGAAGGCAAGATCATCATTACCAACATGTACCCTAACGATAAATCTATCTTCACTGATAAGATAGAAGGACATTTTATCTGGGACGATGACCCAAACATATGCGATTCCGACTGTAATTGTTGCAACACTGGTGACACCAATGATGAGGAGAGTAATGATTCAGACGATATGATGACTATAGAGGAGGATCCTGCAAACCTCTCTTCTCTCCTAGTAGAAGATTCAAACTAGAAAAAGGCCCTTGGATAGGACTCTATCGCCAAGAGAGATCAGATCCTTCTTGGAAATACCAGCGATGTGTTGAGATTTTTAAAGAGGAATGACTCCTCTTCCCAAAACAGGACAGGTGCAAAACCTTTGTCAAGAAACCTCCTATTACTTCTTTTATCTCATGCATGATGATCAATCTGACTGCTTACAAAGAAGAATTTCCTCCTCTTAAGAGGTATGTTGATCTCGTGTCTAAGACGACAATTAATGCATGATGATCAACCCGACTGCTTACATAGAAGAATTTTCTCCTCTTAAGAGGAATGTTGATCCCGTGTCTAAGACTACAACTAAACCACACGTTGTCGGACAAGAAGTCGACCTTGATGGAAAGCCAAAACCCTTGAGTCAGGCTGAGGAAGTACTCAACTGGCAAACAGAAAATGCCAAAGTCCAAAATTCTATCCTGCAATGGATAGACCAGAAGATAGATAAGATCTTTATACACCTTGAGGAGTCTGATGACAGGCTCTAGCATTTCAACTCCAATCTGAGAAAGTACTACAAACAACTTTCTTCAAAGTTCTTAAGGCTAGAAGAAGATTGGCAAAACACTATTTTTGGAGAGCTATCTCACGCCAAGGAAAAAGAGATCAGAAGGCTCAAGACCCAAATCCAAGAAATAGACAACTACATTGAGAAAAAAGTCAAACAACAGAAAACAAAAAAAAGATCATTATTCTTCCCTATTCACTTCATCTCCAACTTACTCCTCTTTCCAAACCCTAGTCTACTCATATTTCCAAAACCCTCTCCATATTTCTGACCATCACCACAAACTAAGAAGGTTGTCACACCTTCTCCAGAATCTTCTTTTGAAGATCTACCTTCACCCAAAAAACAAGACCCATATGACCCGATCTTCCAAGACTCTCAAATGGCTATAGAGCCTTGTTCCACTCCATCCTTTACGGATACTCCTACAACCACAACTCCTCCGGATACTCCTATAATTGTTAAAGGGTATTCCTCCGAAAAATCAGAAACAAAAGTTCCTAGTTACGAAGACCTAACTCAAATCCTCATGACCAACACCTCTCGATCAGAAGTCAGACATAAACTCATATACGACTTGCCCGATGAAGAAGACAACTTTGGTCCTACTAGGACAAATGCATCTTCAATAGGTCTTAGTTCACTATTGATGACATCCCTCCAAGCCAATGGAGAGCGAGATTGATCGAATTTAGAACTTGGTTAGACACCAAGCTAATCAAAGACTATAAGGAAGTTTAAAATGTTATAAATAGAAAATTTAAGCATTGAAATTTCATTTTTCACAAAATTTCTATCTCTTTATAACCTTTTTTTCTTTGCTTCTCTTTCAACTTTTTCAATTTTTTTTTCTAAATCCAAACACAGAAATTTTAAAATAGAGTATATTAAAGATTTGAATACTAAGAAGTTACTTGACCATTATTTTTTTAATTTTAAGGATGAGAATTTGGTTGTATCTTTAATTATTTAGGGTAGATTATGACTTAAATTGATGTTTGGTGTGATGATTAAATTGATTTGAGAATAATATTGTAAGGATTGCTTGATACATGTATACAATTTTAGGCAAAAGTAACTAAAATTATTACAATTATACCATAATTTTGGATAGAATCACAAGAGATGTGTTTTGGAACAAGTTTAAATATATATATATATATATATATATATATATATATATATATATATATATGAGAGAGAGAGAGAGAGAGAGAGAGAGAGAGAGAGAGAGATACCTGTCTAGATTTAGATTTCTATATAATTTGCTTGGTCATTCAAGCAAAAATGCACTCAAGAGTGTTTCGTTAGGGAACTGATTTAAGTACTCAAGCTTAAGTATTATTTTATAATAACGTAAATTAAGATATTAAATTGTAAAAAATCGATGAGATTCCATCCATCTGGTTTGTTGATCAAATTAAACTTTTTAATCTTAGGCCCATTGAGGAAGAATGTCAAATTTATTAATGACACGAGATACAATAAAAGGTCATTGAGATGCGCTAAACTCAAGTTAAAACTAATGAATATTAAAATTGATTGATAAAAGTGCTGGAATAGTACGACTTAAATGATTATTGTAAAAATTGTATTAATAATTTCTATAAAATTATCTTACCTAATATATCGTTGTTTGTGTTATTTTAATGATATAATGATAATATTTTTTATGCTAGATGAATATGGTAAGACTTAAGATTAGTACTGTGAAAACGTACAGTTTGGTCTAGTTTTATGAATAAGTAAAAAAGATTCTAATGATTCAGACTAGTTTATATTTTAAAATAAAAAGTTAAACATATCCTATTAAAAATATTATATAACACATCTTTTAACTTTTTCTTTCCAGATAAATACACGTTATAATTTTTATAATTGAAGTATTTATAGTAATTGATTTAAAATATTCTACCAGAGATATTAGATAATACATTTTTTAGCTTTTTCTTTTTTTGTTTGTTAAATACTCGTTATAAATATATGTAATTGAAGTATTTGTAATAATTGATTTAAAATCAGGATTCAAAATTTTATTTACCTACCAAACTCCCTCGTACTCAATTAAATTGAATATCATGTTTAATAACACATTTAGCAAGTGCATCTCTCTAAATTTTAGAATCAAATTTTTGTTACTTCAACAAGTTAATTTTATTATCCAACCTAACTCTCACATCATGATACTTTAGAAATACATTATATTTAAGAATATGTCAAATATGACAACGACAATGAGAGGAAGATGATGACCAAATCAAATGAAAATTATGTTTAGTTTATTATTCTTTCTAAATTATATATATAACAAAATATATTATCAAATTAATTTATTATAAATATATTTTTTTTAATAAAATAATATTATTTTTATTTTTTTTGGTACAATAATTATTATTTTATAAAACGAATCAATTCATAAGTCTACGGACTAGTTTGACCTAAGTTCATTTAGGCTTGGTCTAAATAAGTCGGACTAAAATTTGTCTGATTCTATTTAGGCCATAAATTTTTTAGTGTAATATGACCTATTTTTAAACTTTTCAAGCTACTTGTCGGATTAAGCCTATTTTGATACCCTACTTAAATTAGATGGAGTTTCTTATTTTAATAAGAAGAGTTATTATCCACTTATGTCTTAAAACATTTTGAAAAATAATATGTAAATATTATATTTTATTAAATATTATATATATATATATATATATATATATATATATTAATTTGACATTTTATATTATTTTTTACTTTATTTAAATAAATATAACTAATCATATTTACTTGAATTTTTTTTTAAACTCTAAAATCTTTAAATCTAGTCTAAGAATTTACCCTAATTAACATTTTTCCTCTTGAAATATAAGGAAATATTTATATGATCCCTTAAACAAAGTTGACTCTTTTTTCCTTTACCATGGTCATAGCTTCTACAATCATCACCTTTGAAAATATGTTGCAATTTATAGAGGAATCTCATGACACCCCTTAATGAAAGGGAAGCACGTTGCACACTTGTTACCAAAACAAGAATTGAGAATAACTGTGATGGAGTTACTTTTTTCTTTATACATTTTAACTGTTACATTAACATAATATTTTTCATTTTTTCCTTTAAGTTATTCATGTATAACAAACCGACTTAAACAAAAATTGAAGTATAAAAATGTCTAAATAAGTGTATAAACCAAGAACAGTTTTAAAATGTTAGTATTTTCTTTATACAATGTTATGGATATTGTTAAATCTTTTTTTTAAGTTGTAATTTTTTTACAAAAAAAAATTAAATAACTTATTACAAATAATTATTAAATAAAGAAAGAGGTTAACTGTTTATTGTGATATCGAAATTAGATTTTTATCTTCTTTTATACTTTTGACATATTACTGAGATTGTGTTTCAGTTCTCATAAATTTTATATCGTTCATCGTTTATATACATGTTTTTTCTTTATTTACTAAAAATAAAATTTAAAAATATAATTATAATATATTAAAATCTAAAATAAACAATATTTTAATCATAATAATGAAACTTAATAAATTATCACATTAGAATATCATATTTTTTATTTTTTGTTCTTAAACAAAGGATAAATATATTAATTTTATATTTAATTAAATTATAAGCAAAATATAATAAAAACATCTTTCAAAATATGTATACTTATATATTTATAAATTATCAATTAATTTTAAATCCTTAATATAACATAATAATAACGCAATTTTAGGAATTTGTTAGAGTTCACGTCTACCATAGATCATACGTAACAACAGTGGAGAAAGATTAAATACTGCAATAATTATGATGACACGAAACATCGTGAACTAAAGCCACATAGAAATTCGAGCTTTTTTGTTTTCTTGGTTATCCAATTCTGTGATTTGTCGGATGAAGGTTGCTTGGTGATGGCGTCGCGGGTCCACGCTACTACCGGCCAAACTGGAACGCGGAAAGAGAAGATGGGATGGGCATCGGAGAGCCTTTTTAGGTTGCTTTTCGCGGTAATCATGGCATATACTTCATTTTTATATATAATGTCATTGTTAATGGATTTTTTTTTTTTTGGGTATCAGTTTAAGTATTTAAAATCTATTAATATAACATTGTGATTATGATAACAATGGTACTTCGTAACTGAACCAAAAATATACTGAACGTATTCTATCACTGTTATGTGTATTTCACAAACCTATGTATATCTGTGAACTCCAAACCTTAAAAATGTGTAAAATCTGTTATAATGATGAGGCCATTGTAAAACCGAATTGAACCTAAATCATAGTATCATTACCCTATCTAAACTTTGAGTCCTGTGCTCTCATTCTTTCTTGTTACAAGATCATCTCTACCAACTTTTTATTTTAGTTTTAAATTTTTATGATCTTTTGTAACTTCACTCCTTATAAACAGTTTTCACATCAATGAATTAAGTTATACTTAGGTCAGTTAACCAAAGCATGTTGTTTTTAGTGCAGACAAAAAGTAAATGTCCACATATAAAACATAAGACAATTGTTAATGTAATCCTTAAAATTATCAGTTTTCTTCTCTGAAATTATTTGATGCAACTTGTAACAGCACCGCATATTTTTGTCTGAAGAGTAAACATGCATAAGGGTATGGTATTTAACGGCTATCAATATCTTGTCGTTGGAGTCTTCACTCTTGTTATAAGCTTCCCTGTTGCAATCACGCATGCTGTTGCACCTTCTCTGGATGTTTCGTCTTTGAACCGGACCAGTTTTCCCTCAGGTTTCATCTTTGGCACTGCCTCCTCAGCCTACCAGGTCGGTATCATTTGATTCAGCACTCATATACTTTATAGCATGTATCAAGTGGTTGGGTATGAAGGTATAACCTCGTCAAAAGAAAACTATGACAGAAAAAAAAAATGATTGTTTGAGATAGATTGTGTTTCACATTTCATAATTATGAACTTTATAGGGAGTTAGATTTGTATAGTATAATTAATAATTGATTTGTGTATATAATGTAGTATGAAGGTGCTGCAAATGAAGGAGGTAGAGGACCAAGTATATGGGATACCATTACTCATAAATATCCAGGTATCTCTTTATAATACTGTAATTTTTTTTTTATCGATAAATAATTTGGAGGAAAGACTAAAAGGTGTTTCCTCTGTTTTTGTGATTATCCATATTAGTTCAGTTTAGCTATTTAGAAATGTAAGTTATTTCTGTAATTGGTGAAAAGTACAGATTAAGTTTAAAAATATCCTCAGTTTGAAAACCAGATAGGATATACTCGTGGCGTGGTCACTGTATTAGATTGCTTGAACATCTCACTGTATAAAATATTTTATTAGTTGAAGATAAAGAACATACAGAGTGTTCCTCACTTTTTATGTGTAAAATTGGACTGTTTGTACTGTCATTATATGGTATGAAAAGTGGTTCTTATCGCACCGTTAAAAGTGAAGATTAGAACGATTTTTAAGAAAACCTTATTGATAACTGATTAGGTATTTAAGAAGAAAAAACTGAAGGCTCAATCCATATATTGATTTGATAACCATTGTTCCAATCCCTCTGGACAATGGCAGTTGTCGTGCATCTGGTTTTTTCATGTAGTAATTGGTGCAATTGTAAACAGAAATGATATTGGATAGAAGCAACGGAGATGTAGCTGTTGATCAATATCATCGCTATAAGGTACCATCCAAACGGATATTAGGCTTTGTTCTGCACTCTCTCTGTCTTGTTAATTTTATATCATTCTAGTATTTTTACCAGAAATACTAGTATCTTTCTTATTGCCTAAAAATTATTAAACATGAGTCTTGTTTATTATATTTAGTGAATTTTGTTTTTAAACTTGTGGGATCTATATGAATTTCACTGTTTTATGTTATCTTGAGTCATTGATTGGTTGTGTCTAATAAACACATACTCATGCAGTTAGTACTTACTGTTTATGTATATAATTTACATGGGAGCATAGAAGGTCATCTCGTGAATTACCTTCCTGGAGCTCTAACTTTTTTGTTCACTATCTTCTTACCAAGTGTGTTAACCATTTTACATGTTAATAGGAAGATGTTGGGATCATGAAGTATATGAACACTGATGCCTACAGATTCTCCATCTCGTGGTCAAGGATATTACCAAGTAAGCAAATGTTGGAATTAGTTTCGTCTTACAAGTTTCAATAAGTAAAATTTCGCTAACACCACTCTGATAAATATGCAGAAGGAAAAATTAGCGAGGGTATAAACCAAGAAGGAATCGAATATTACAACAATCTCATCAACGAACTAGTGGCTAATGGTCATACATATAATCCATTCTGTATTCATATATAAATAATCATATAAATATACTGATAAGAATGATATTAATTCAGATCTTCTGCCATTTGTGACCCTTTTCCATTGGGATCTTCCCCAAGCCTTAGAAGATGAATACGGTGGCTTCTCAAGTCCTCATATTATGTAAGCTACAAAACACAAATTTTCACTCAAGCTAGCTAGAATATTAGGCACTAATTCTAAATCAATGCTTGTTTATGTAAATTGAATTTTCATCAGTTACACACATTTCTATGTGCAGAAATGATTTCCAGGACTACGCAGAGCTATGCTTCAAGGAATTTGGAGATAGAGTGAAATATTGGACTACTTTTAATGAGCCATGGAGTTACAGTATGGGCTCAGAACCCTACACGACCTCACACTACCAACTGCTTGCTCATGCAGCAGCTGTCAAAATTTATAAAACCAATTATCAGGTGCACGATCAGAAAAATATCAAATTTTATTCAGAAAATCCCTAAACATCTAATTATTTTTTATTTATTTGTTAGTAGTAGACATCATGTTCTGTTGTTCACTAAGAATGTACAAAATATTGACTTGAATCTGAGCAGGCACCTCAAAATGGTTTGATAGGCATCACCTTAAATTGTCACTGGTTTATTCCGTTCTCAAATGACAAATTAGATCATCAAGCTGCCCAACGAGCTCTTGATTTCATGTTGGGATGGTAAAAATGCTAATTAATTTTGTTGAATTATATCTTTGTTCCTGCGTTAGTTTGATGTTTCTTAAGTGAATTGATTGCAGGTTTATGCAACCACTTACAAGAGGAAAATATCCAAAAAGCATGCAGTCTTTGCTGGGAAGCCGATTACCAAACATCACTAAAGAGCAATCAAAGCTACTTGTTGGCTCGTTTGATTTTGTTGGACTCAATTACTACACCACTAATTTTGCTGCTCATATATCCCACGCAATTAATAGCACAAGCAGTAATAGCTATATCCACGATACTCATGTCAATTTTACAAGTAAGAACGCATTGGTTGTAAATCTTAACGAGGAATTGTACATCAGATACCCTTTTTCTCTTTTATTTTAAAATTCAGGGGAAAAACAGGGGCAACCTAATTTCTGATCAAGAAATTAAGAGTCATAAAAAGAGAAGCATGTGCTCTAAGAACTTATAGCGTGGATAATTTGATAGAGAAATTAATCATTGATACTTCCTTTTATTTTGCTTTTCAAAAAATAGAAACTGTCTGATGAAAAAAAAAAATCTCCTATGACTTATGACAGCTGAACGTAACGGGTTACCCATTGGACCAAGGGTACGTAACCTTCTTCATTTGCTGATATATCTCAAAAATTAGGCATCTGTGTGTACCTCACAAGTAAAATCAAGTGCTTCTTTCCTTTGTATGATTTATTTATTTGATGAAATAACAAGGAAACGTCATTTCTCTGCAGGCCAGTTCATCTTGGCTTTATGTTTATCCAAGAGGACTTCGAGAACTATTGTTGTACATCAAGATAAAGTATAACAGCCCTGTAATTTACATAACAGAAAATGGTAATACTTTAATAATCTTCTTTTACTTTCCATTTATACCTATAATCTTCTTGTTTTCTTCACAATCAAATCAACCTGTAATGAACTAAAATGTTCATATTTACTTAAATTATAGGTATGGACGAGCACAATGATCCAAAACTATCACTCGAAGAGTCACTCATGGATACTTATAGAATTGACTACTTCTATCGCCATCTTTATTATATTTTAATTGCAATCAAGTAAGTGAAACTCTCTTTTCTTATTCCATAATTTAAATTTTATGATTTTGACTCGCTTATTATTTGTTGGCTTTTGGTTCGAAGGGATGGGGTGAAAGTACATGGATATTTTGCATGGTCGCTTCTGGACAACTTCGAATGGACTTCTGGCTACACCATGCGTTTTGGAATTAACTTCATCGATTACAAGGACAATTTGAAAAGACACCAAAAGCTCTCTGCTCATTGGTTCAGGAATTTTCTTAATAAAGATGGACTCGTTCCATGATGATACACTATGCTTAATAAGATGAGAACTTGGTTATCAATCAAGAGCAACAATAATTTTTATATTTTTTATTTTAAATTATAAGTATCTACATCTGTGTTATAATTGTTTTACACTTTGTCTGTCCTGCTGTTACTGATTCTGTGGATTATGAGAATGAAAAGAATCTCTAAGAAATATTCTCATCTGTTCAAAAACAAGAAACATTATTCATATCATGTTTTATGGAAATTCTGGTTGAGGCACCAGTTTATGCGACTAAATGTCTATCTTATGTTTAATTAAAAACCATATCAGCTTAGGATCACACATAATATCAATTTATCAACTTAAATAGATATACTGCAGGGAACCCCCATTCCAGTCACACCTGGCTTTGAGAAAGGTTTCAACAGCTCGTATGGGACAATGCCAGCTCCATTTCTGTTCATTAGTTTCGTATTTTCATTCCTCTCATCAATCACTGATTCTAGTTTCTTCAGTCTTTCTCTAAATCTTTCAAAGGCATTCTTTATGACGGGGTCTTCACCCCATGATGGTTCCATCTTTTCTCCTATGTATTCCTCATCAGGTGAATGAGTTGAAAGTATATCCAAGACAGCCATGACTCTAGTTGCTTGAAGTTGTGAAGGGAAGCACTTGAGAAGAGCTTTTTCAGGTTTTGCAATGAACTTTTTCCACTCATCTTCTGAAGGGTCCTCTGTGGGCATTTTAGTCCTTGTAATTGTAGGCCTATTTGGGAAATATCCCCCATAAACATATTGCCCAAAGTTCACTGCTGCATGGTGACCAGAAGTTACCCAAATGATTGTGCTGAGGATTCCAATGAGGTCTCTTGGGGTTTTGAGAACTGGCCACCATGGCTCATCTTTTTTGTCAGCATGACCAGCTGTTCTAATCTCTTTCCACCATGCCTGCAGCTCTTCATCTGACTTCACAAGACTTGGTTCAGGGTAATAATGGTTGACATAGTCGGTCACCCATAGCTTTATGGCGTCCCACAGAAGCAACCCATCATTGGCAAAAGGATAGTCTGGAATGGTAAGCTTTAAGCCATGTGGAGAAAATGGATCTTCCAAAGCCATTCCCCTAAGAATCAAGGAAAATACTTCAAACATAGCTGAGTTTTGAAGAATTGAAATTTATGCATCGGGGTCAATTTAATATACAAGGGATAATCTGAAAACATTACCTGTTTATAATTACTTATTGTCAGAACTTATTATAAACGCAATTTTTATCATTGATTATTTGGGTTTCACAAGTTGACTCTTTTTAACTAACCTCACCATAATTTCATGTTTTTTTAGATTTAGCAAGTAATGGAGAAAGTGTTGAAAAGAGTGCTTGGAAAAATGTATTACTCCATGCAAATATTCATGCTGTGTGTGTATATTTGAATATATAAGGGTACCTTCTAATTAGATCCGCAGGTAGAGACTGCATGTCAAACCGCCATTCAAGATCATAAGCAGCGGAACTAATCTCTATGGAATACTTTCCTGGTGCGAATGAGCTCTCAATTGTCCCATCAGCGTTAATAAGTGCTTCCCGTGCCAGGGCATTAATCTCCATTGTGTAACGGAAATGAGGGTGTAGCAGTTTATATATGGGATGCATCTCACTAAGTTGTCTGTTGGTTGCAATAACATAGGGCTCTGTCACACAGTGAGTTCTTAACCTACCACACAAGACAACAATTTAATCTTAATTTGGCCTTGTTCACAATGATCAATAAAATATAGACTAAATATTATTGTTTATTTGTAACTGTGAATGAATGAATCAATGAGAGGGGTAAGCTAAATATATAAAACCTTAATATTGTTCCTTAAATATGATTAGTATTAGTATTAGTATTAATTTTAACTAAACTGAGAATTTTACTTAGATATTTCTCCCTAACCTTTTAATTCAAATTTTTATTACAAGGGTTATAACAGTATCTAAAGAACTGTATGCATGTTTTATGTTTATATCAATATCAATGCCTTAAGGTAAAAGGTAGTTTACCAATGACTAACAAGTTGGTGATAGCCAGAGTCATGTGCAAGAACATGAGCCTTGGCAAACCTCCAGAGCCAAACACTAGTTGAGTGCCAAGAAGGCGTGAAAACTTGCTTCCATTGCTTTTGTCCCTTTATTTCTGGCCGAGTAAGCTCAATGGCAAGAGGCCTCAGTGTCCCCTCTGGGTTTAGAAAGAACAAAGTTCGTGATCCATACAGTGTTTTCCCCTTCAGTTTGCGTACTTTGCTGACATACGGTAAAAGTATGTCATGGTAATCTAACATGAATAGCTTCTTTTCTTTGATAGCCTGCAACACCACACCTTCTTGTTAGAGTTATATTATATACGTACTCATACAATAATTAGTTACAGAATGTAGAATATATCTTCTCCTAAAAAGAATATGGTGCATGTACAATTAAATATGCTTATATCTGTAATTTCATGATCTAAATTTCCTAAAGAAATGAATTTGTTTGTACACAGTTAATGAATCATACGTTTTCTACAGACATTATGCCTCCAATCTCTTTATTGATAATTTCTGAAGTGATTGCTGATTCTGCTGGACCATATATTTCTGGGTCAAGTTTACTCCTCAATGGCCATTCCTGCCCAAGAAAGTAAATTAACATGACATAAATTCTTATACGTTGCCCCCCAAGAAAAAGTTCTAATTCCCTAACATGGACGAGAACAGAGTACTTGGACTTTCAATGGTTTAATTTTCATTAAAATAGAAATTCAGTGTGTAAAGTAATGCATACTGTGACCAATTTTATGCTATAAGGGTTGAGACCAGCAACAGTTTGTCTAGCAAATTCCTCATCCCTGAACCAGAAAAACCTGTCCCCTGAAAACCCCAAACACATATTTTTGCAACATAAATACAAAAGTTCATTGTTTATGATCCACTTTATTATGAGATTGAATTTAGATATGCATGGAGTGGAAATAAATGATTGAATTGAGAATTGAAATCTGACTGCTCATAGTCTCTGGTGTCTCAAACCGAAGCACGTTTCCCCTCTCGCCAGAAAAGGATTTGACGAGTCTTGGCATCATTTTTCCTAGGAACCCCTTCTCAGTCTCATGCTCAGGAGGTAAGTCAAGTCCATGGCTGAAGAGTGAATCAATGTCGTGGAAGTACGAAAATGGAAGATCCTTTTCTTTGATAATCTTCCCCAGAGATGGAAGCAGTATTAGCAACACTGAGTGTAAGGTCTTGGTTGAAAACGTCAACTGCTTCACTTCTGAGAAGCATTCGTCCCTCGGAACGTAAAACTTTCCACTTTTTTTTTCTGACAATGGATCTGCATCACAAAGACAAATTAATTTCCAACTCCCAACCAGATGATATCATATGCATCCAACAAAAATTGTTTTGGTGGATGAGAATTGAGAAAACATAGTATGATCAATTACACACCTGCTTCACTATGTGGCCGACCAGTTCGACAACGTCTAGGATACGGTCGTTCTTTACCTCCCAAAGGAGGTCTCTGAAGTTCAAGGCTTTTATCAGGATCTCCAATGTCATTGTATTTATCATAATCATATATTCTTTCAAAGCTTTTCCTTTCTCCTTCTCCATTCCCTCGTAGGTTTCTCAGTTCTTCTGCTCTTAGTCTTCTTAAACCACTCGGTGTCTCTCTCGGTAAGTAACACTATAATATACAATAATGTCAAACATATATACATAACATAACTAGCGTTATGAGGTGGTAACTGAGTAAGTACCTTGTTGGAGAAGAAGACCCTATTGATGGGATTATCGAACTTGGAGTGAACCCAAGAGGCACAGTGAAAATGAATAGGAGGGTCTTCGGGGAAGCCATCAAGGATGATGGTTTCAAGGAACATCTCTTTGTGATGCTCATTCTCGACCAGAACAGCACCGATCTCCCCAAAATCTTTTGGAACATCAAATTCAGCTTCGTACTCATACGATTCCTCTCCATTTCCTGCTTTGTGTGCGTATGCTTTCAGCGTTTCCTTCTCTAGTCCAGTCACTGAACCCACAATTAAAAGCTGGTAAACTTTATTTTCAACCTCAAGGTGTCAAAGTTAAGAAGATTATCAGTATGAACATTGAGCAAATATAGTAAAAAGAATCTTAATTCAAAAGTTTGATACTTTAAAAGTAACAATCATAGAGTTGGTCTTCGAGAAAACTAGACCTTGACAGTATAACAGTTATATTTCAATACCAATTAAATATTTAATAAGCTTAACATGATAGGCTCACTCAATAGATTCTACAACTAGAGGAGGTTAAGTTTGTTCAACGTGACTTGTTTTAATCTACCCGTTTATGATGTAAGTAAATAAATGATTTAATTATTAAGATTCACTTATTTTATGATTTAATTATTAAGAAGAATTAGTATTTTAGATTAATAATTTATTAAAAAAATAAATGATAATATTTAAAATATATGTTTTTAATTCTTATTTTGAGGTTATAAGAATTTTTTGTTTCTAATTTAAATTTTATTTTTTTATTTAAATATTATTTTGATTAATTATTATGATATAGATATATTAATAATTTTTTTAACTTTTAATCATATCAATGTTAGTATGTTAATCTAAAATTATTATCTATTCAAAAATATATTTATGAATCGATTTGTTTTACCTGTTTTGAGAATTTTTTTTTTGAAGTCTTACTAAATTTATAGATTTAAAAAATTGAAATGTAAAAAAAAATTATAATAATATAATTTTTTATAAGATCTAATTATAAAAACAAGATTTAGTAAAATTATGATGTCAGATTCTTTAAAAATGATGTGATATAATGAGCCTCGTTTAAAGAGAAAAAAACATGCATTTTAACTAGAGTATTTGAAAATTTGTAAAAATATAAATTAAAAATAAAATCATTACAATGTTAAAATTGTAATTATAAATTCCATAAAAGTATACTATAAAAAATCACAATCCAATATGGAATCAACCTATGTTGCGCATGGTGGTTAGGTAGAAACCTACCTGGCCATGCCATTCTGTCAGCACAAAAAGACAATAAAACAAAAAAATTGCTTAAAATCAGTTTCAAGGACAAATAAAAATTAGTGTGAAAACGTCGATTTGAACTGATTTTTCAAACAAAAATTTCCGTTTGCTTTTCTTTTGAAAACAGTTTTAAATTAAATAGAGACTTATGTGTGAGATTTTTTTAAAGAAAAGAATGTGAGATCTAAATGTAAATTGATATTATTTTACAATTTAGTATGAATTTTTATTTTATAAGATATGTAATATCTCTTATCTTTTAAGTCAAATTAATAATCTATCTATTTTTTATAATTGTGTAATATTTCATCATAATTAAAAACATTAAACACTTTTATGGATCAATTTTACAATATATATATATATATATATATATATATATATATATAAGGTGGAATGTTTTTAATCCTTTAAAGTATATTTTTTAGTACTTAAATATTAATTAATAAATAAATAATATTTAAAGTAAATTTCATATTTCATATATTTTTTAATTTAATCTTTATATATATATATATATATATATATATATATAATAAATTATATTTCATTAAAATATACTTACATTTATTTAAATTTTAAGATTAAATAAAAAAATACATTTTAAACTATCAATTGACCATTCAATGTAAAAATAAAAATTATATATATAGAGAAAAAAAAAAAAAAAAAAAAAAGACAACGTTAACATCAAAATTTAACTACTTAAATTACGAGATGCTCCAGGAACACAAACAAGATTACAAAAATATACGGCTTGTCCGTTTCTCATAACCGTACAATAATTGTTGAGGTGTGTTTTTGTAGTACATGTTTCACTTTTATGTATTCTATTATTTTTATTAATTCTTTTAACTAAATAAATAAAATAACATTTTCTATAAATAAAATTAACGTGCATTTAAATTTAACAATTATATATAAAATAATTTCATATTACAAATTATATAAACATATTCTTAAATGTGTCTCATAAAAATAAAAATATTTTGTTTTTAATATATCAGTCATGTCGTCATTAAGTTATCATAAGAATTATTTTCAATTTTGTGAATTGAAATAACTAGTAAGGAAAAATGAAGTCCACGGTGAATGGTTAATTATTAACTTATGAATTTTTTTTTCTTTCAATTAATTTGATTTTAGACAGAAAGGTTTTTCAAAATTGAATATGAATATTAAGTTTACATGATATTGACCCAGTGAAAATGATTTCTGTTAAATTTAATGTTGAATAAATTTTTTTAAAATGTTTAACTTTGAAAGCAATTTCTAAATAAAATTTAATATAAAAATTGTTTTCCAATCCCAAAATCATCTTAAAAATTGAAAGTGGAAATCAAATTTAGATCTATAATAAATTCTTTAACAAATTCAAACAAGTGAAAATTTAATTAAAAAATATATATAAGATTTTTTTTCTTGTCAAAATGTTAACCTTAAAAATAAAATAAAATAATTTTTTTTCTATTATTAATGTTCTATGCCAACCAAAGAAAACCTAGGTAAAAGCACTAAAATTGTATGATAAAAAAAATAGTTTTCTTTTTCTTTTTCTTTTTCTTTCTCTTCGTTTCAACTATTTTTCTCGTGGAACAGATAAAAATCATTACAAAGGTTCGCAGACACAGAACGACTTCAACTTATCGTTACCTACTGTAACAACCATAGACATGAAAAACATAGCAAGAGTATAAGAAAATAAATAAATAAGAATCCTTACCAGGATCAAGCTCAGAGCTAACAAGCTCCAAGAGAAGAGATTTACCAAGCAAATCTGTTATATCGTCGATTCCTCGGTCCAACCTGAGACTGGAAAAGAAACCAGCAGCAGTTATTTTGACCTTAACTATGGCTTTAACCTTCACTCTACTCTTCTCATCTCTGTCTCTGCTTGTGCTTGTTGTTGTTGTTGTTCTTGCTGGATTACTAGAATTTGCTTCAACGTTGCGTGCAGCCAGTAGAAGCTGTTTTTGGCTCTGCACGTTGTCCTTTAACCATGGTGAAAGAGATGAAGTTCTTCTTCCACTGCTTCCAATAGAATTACAGAGTGGACGTTGCAGAAACAATAGGGTTTGGTTAGGAGTTTGTGATTGATACAGATGAGGTTTTATCATCTTTCTCTCTCGTTTATGTTTTATGGTCCAAAGTTCGCGAAATAACTCATCTTGTTTTATACTGCTATATACCTCTTCTTCTGCATTGTTTTCACAAATCAAAATCCTTACATAAAATCAATAAATAAATAAATAAACTAAATATTATATAATGTTTACATGTCGAAATTAAAAATAATTTATAAATATTTTTTAAATTTCTTTTCAAATTAAAATTACGCCAGATTAGAGTTTGTGATAATTGGCCAAAATCTTATTTTTAGACATCATGTGCCACGAAAAAAATAGTTTCTAAAATTTATATAATGGATGACCAGAAAGAGTTTAATATTTATTTTTTATTTTCACTATTTAATTGTATTATACAGTGATTTTATTGCGAGAAATAAAAATAATAAAATCATGTAAGTTTATTAATCACGTAACACTAACAAGTCATGAAATAATCTTGAAATGACAATACGTGTGATGACGTATATAAATGACATAGAGATAACAAGACAATCGATTATGTGTGATAAATACTTCATTTGTGATCTAATTAATTAACAAAAAAAGCAATTATTTAATTAGCAAACAAAGAAAGTTCATCAAATGAATAACTTAACTCGATTTTATATTATTTAGAATTAATTGGAATCATTTTCAATGGTGGGACCACATTATGAGGCAAGCTAGAATTTAATGAGAATCACAAATATGAATATATCTTGTTTGTTTTATATATAGTGTTGCGTCCTTTTCTTTGCATGTACAGTCTAACTCATTTTATATATAGTGTTTATGTATAGTTTTTCATTAATTATTTTATCATTATGATTTATAACACTTTATTTTATTTTATTTTATTTGGAACAAACAAAAAACTGGAACATGATGATGATAAATCGTATAAGAGTGTAGTGATGTTATATGCTTTCTTACATGGGTTAATTAACTTTGATTTTCATTAGTAGTGATGTTATAATAATATAGTTTTACATGATTCCCACGCTGCAAAATTTGTCAATTCACTAAAAATATGAGAATTGAAAGTTAAAGTAAAATTACTAATTTAAAATATTTTTTTAAAAAGTTATGTAAATAGATAAATTGTAGGACTTTATAAAAAAGAAGTGGGTTATTGTAATCCAGTAATTTTGCTACTTTCATTATGTCACCCAAACAATGATTTTATGTTTGATCATTAGACGTGGGTTGTATGAGATTTTGCCTACATGTTAATATTGGAATATGCTAAAGTAGTGTTTGACTTTTGAAGGTCAACAAACTTTTCATATAAATTGTTATGAAATATTGGATACTTAGTGTTTTGTTGCGCTTGGTTATGTATTGATAATGTGAACATGTATATGATACAATCCATATTAGAGCATTCTCAAATCATTACAAGTAAAATTTTCATTATTATAAAAATAAATAGGTGATAATGATACTCATCTTATTGGGAAACATATCTTTAATACTGTATTTCTCAAGTGCATTTATAAGACTTTATTATTTACCTCTAATTTTTTTTCTTATATTAAATCTATCATAAAAAAATTTTAAAAATTTAATTATTGCACTTTTATGTATGAATCTTGTAAGGAAGTATATGATTTATTAATGAGAATTAGTTTCAATGATATATTTATTAAACTACATATATTAATGGTTAGAATTATATTTTTTAACTCATGATAATAATGAATTATGATTAATTTTAGTTAATTTTTTATTAAAGTATATGATTGAATTACACCTAAATTGGAGTTATAATGTTATACATGTTATTTAGGTTGTGGTAAAGGAACATTCTATAATTGTTTTTGAAAATAGGAATAAATTTATCGACACACAAACTTGTAGATAAATAGTATTGAAAACATATCATCTACCATATTTTACCTATAGATATATCGATCGGTAATTACTTATAATTCATTTCTACTTATATATTCATTGATAATTACCGATTCGCAAACTCGTTGGTAAATTTTATCGACAGTAGAATCACTTACAAATTTTTATCTGTCAATAATTCGTTGGTAATATATATTTTTGTTTTTACCGATGAATATTTGTCAATAAAACCAATTTTTCTTGTATTGCTTCTATGAAGGAAGAAAAACATATTATGTCTTCATAGAAAACCACATTTGTTGTTATATACATGTGATTAGTAGTAAGATGATAACACTTATATCATTTTTTGTGTAAAATATATCTAACAAAAACACATTTAATATCTCATAGGGCTAACTTGTTACGTTGATACTTATGAAGATGAACAAATAAAATAATTCAAATACATGAGAATGTAAATTAGGAGCTATTAGATGACAAGTTAAATCATATGGTGATTCAAAATGTGTCTTCAATTTAATAGAACCCGAGGGAGTCTCGATTTATTAAATATATTGATGAAATAATAGTTTTTCCCAAGTAACATAATGATATGTGTGCTTCAATAAATGAAGTACAAACATTTCTAACAAATATCGATTTTTTCTCTCAGTAATTCCATTTTATTAAGGTGTATTAAAATAAGTAATTTTATTAATAATTTTATTAATTTTTAAATATTGTTAGAGTTCACAATTTTTATATTCCTCACCATTATCACTATGTAAAGCTTGAATTTGAGCATTATATTGAGTTCTTATAATTTTATGAAAATTTAAAAATAATAAACTTACATTATTTTTATTTTATTACGTACAACAAAGTTATTATTGTACAATCATGATAATAATGAATTATGATTAATTTTATTTAATTTTTTATTAAAGTATATGATTGAATTAGATCTAAATTGGAGTTATAATGTTATACAAGTTATTTAGGTTTTAGTAAAGTAACATTCCATAATTATTTTTGAAAATAGGATAAATTTATCGACGAGACAAAATTATAGGTAAATATCATTGAAAACATATCATCTACCATATTTTATCTATAGATATATCATTCGGTAATTACCTACAATTTATTTCCATTAATATATCCATTGGTAATTACTGATTCGCAAACTCGTTGGTAAATTTTATCGACAATAGAATCACTTACAAAATTTTATCTGTCAATAATCCGTTGGTAATATGTATTTTTATTCTTACCGATGAATATTTGTCAATAAAACCAATTTTTCTTGTAGTGCTTCCATGAAGGAAGAATAATACATTATGTCTTCATAAAAAACCACATTTGTTGTTATATACATGTGATTAGTAGGAAGATGATAACATTTATATCATTTTTTGTGTAAAATATATCCAACAAAAACACATTAAATATCCCATAGGGCTAACTTGTTACGTTGATATTTGTGAAGATGAACAAATAAAATAATTCAAATACATGAGAAGGTAAATCAGGAACTATTGGATGACAGTTAAATCATATGGTGATTCAAAACGTGTCTTTAACTTAATAGAACTTAAGGGAGTCCAATTTATTAAATATATTGATGAAGTAATAGTTTCTCCCCAATAACATAATGATGTGTGTGCTTCAATAAATGAAGTACGAACAATTTCTAACAAGTATCGATTTTTTCTCTCAATAATCCCATTTTATTAAGGTGTATTAAAATAAGTAATTTGATTAATAATTTTATTAGTTTTTAAATATTGTTAGAGTTCACATTTTTTATATTCCCCATCGTTATCATTATGTAAAGCTTAAATTTGAACATTATATTGAGTTCTTACAATTTTATGAAAATTTAAAAATAATAAACTTACATTATTTTTTATTTTATTACGTACAACAAAGTTATTATTATACAATCATCGATAAAATTAACAAATTAACGAAAGTAACATATGTTTGAATTTTAGATGGATATCACACAATAAAATGTATCACCATAAAAAGTTGAGAACTTTTATTTAAAATTAATGAAAATAAAGTTCTATAACTCTTTTCTAGTTCACAAACATTATAATTAAAACTAGAAAATAATGTTTTTTAAATAAAGTAGGAAATTATTTTTTTAAATACCCAAATGAGGCATGACCAAAGTGTCGATATATACCATACCCAAAATTTAGATCTTTTATTTGATCTCTTAGAATTATCATCTATTAAAACTTGTAGTGACTTAACAATTTTTTCTGATAGATTTAAGTAATATAAGTTTCCTCTCCTAACCAATTGATTATTTTGTTTTTATATCTTTAAGAATATAAGTCTCAAGCGAAAAAATTACCACACATGATAACTCAATTATTATTTGGGAAATAAATAAAGATTAAAATTTAAATAAAATAACTAAAACAAAAGTCAAAATTTAAACATCTTTCTCAAATAATTTGAACTTGATTTCCATTCATAAGTGGAAACATATGTTTGTGTTGATTGTTTAATTTAAATGACTTTTCTAAGATCAAATATCATATGATTTGTAACTCTAATATTAATAATTTATATATCATAAAAAATACTAATAATCTTAGAAAACTAACATGATTTTGTAAGAGGATTGAAATCTCCTTGAGTTTAAACAACAAAAAGAAATAATTTTGTTTCGGATGTATCAAATTTTTTTAATCTATGTTTTAGATTATTCAAGATGTATCAAATAATATATCATCAACACTCTAATACTATCTTAGAAATGGTAAGATAAATAACTTAATACTCCAAAACCATTTCAATAAAGTACAATTGTACTCACTTATATACTATAATGTTATCATATCTCTAATTGATGTGAGATTTTATAACACACATCTTACATCGAAGATGATTTTTTCATCACACTCCCTCGTATCAAGGATGAGTGATTCAATATTGATCCGATAACGGATAGTTTATTCTACAATTATTAATTGTTAATGTCCTAATATCGCTAGAGTTGGCTCTTATACCAACTTGAAAATATAAACTTAAATATATAAAAATAAAACATATAAAAACTATTTATAACATACAAAGTTATTCTAATTAGATTATTAATAAAATAAAATATTTTATAATTATATCAATCATAATCAAATAAGATATAATATGTATAATCATATTTTTCAAATATATATATATATATATATATATATATATATATATATTATCATAAATTCTAAATTAAAATTATAAATAAATATTTTTAATTCTTGATATTATTATCCAACCACTTGTTAAAATCCATCTATAAACGCTCACTTCTTATCTACACACTATTCCAAAAAATGTATTTTGGTTAAATATTTTTATTTTAAGCTTTAATTATTACAAAATTTAATATTTAGTATTGTATAATATAATTAAATATTTATGTATTAAACAAAAAGTTATATAATATTTTAATAATATAATGTCCGCATATATATTTTATTAAAAAATATAAGTTATTCTTCTATTTTAATAAATATTAGAGACTAAAACTTTAATCATCACAAATAACAAGACAAAAATAAATATATCATGTAAAAGAAAAACTGAAAAACTGTAATAACATAAAATATATAATTATATAACTATTTACACGACTGTTGAATGTAAAACACGTATGTTGTAAGTCTAAGGACTAATATTACGTCAAACAAAATTTATAACTTAATTTCATGTTAGTTTCTAAGTATAAATGATAAATAGTTATATTACCTACGAGAATAAGTTTCATATAAACTCCTAACAATATTTAAATTATAAAAATGGTTTTTTTGAAGGATATAAAATTATTTGTAAGTTTATAAAAACATTAAAATAATTTTTATAATTTTATACAATAATAGGATATGTTAGAGTATTAAATTTAGATTAATTAACATGTAAGCTCTTATATTATTTTAAAATACATTTGCCCCCATACTAAAATTATGAATCAAATCAGTAATTTTATAAATTCTTTTTTATTCTATAAGATTGGATAGATTACATTATAAATTTTTTAAATAAAATGATCAAATAATTAAACTAGCAACTTGATATATAAATTAGAGTACTATCTATATATTTTATTGAATATTTCAGAAATATTAATTATAAATATTTTAAAATATTAAGAAAGTAATTAGCAAATTGAAAATTATAAAAATTTACAGCGAATTTAATCTCGAAAAATTCAATTCCTTTAATACAATATTCAAACTAATTTAAGATGTAACAAAAGAAATATATATGTTTTTCATAAATTAAAATTCATTTCTTAATTTATGCATAAGTTAAAAAATAACAATTCAGAAAAATTACCCGAACACTTGTAGAAATTACTAAATTATGTATAGTTTAATTTATAATAAAATATTTTTTTATTTTAAAAAATAACTAATAATATAATATTGGAATTATGACCTGTATGATACGACCCAAGAATCTGACACATGGTTTTTTTTTCTCTGACATTATTGATGTGCCATTATCAGGTTACTGACACACAAAGTACTGTCATAATAAGTTATTTTTAATTTCAATTTTCATAAAATAGAAATATTCTCTCTTTCCCATTCTCCTCTTAATAAGCTTTTTAAAAAAATGTGATAATTATTATATAATGTATATTATTTATTACTTTATTAATTTTCAAATAGGAAAAAGTTGAAAAATAAAAAGCACGTCCTTTTCTCATTTTCCTCGCATTCTCATTAAAATATTATCAAATTAAGGAATAAAATTTATATTTAATTCTAAATATTTTTTATTTTTTATAAATAACTAATTATTATGTTAAGTTTTAACTATTGAAGTCATTAGTTGTTTACCGAGATAATTAATCTATGTATATACGGTTGAAGTGTTATGAGAAAAATAAAATTATAAATATAACAAGTTAAAAATATATAACATAAATATTTATATAATTTTTATATATAAAATATTTTAAAATATAATTTTTCTCATATGAAATACCAGTTCTTATAATTAATAAAAATATCTAATATTATATCATTTTTAGTCTTACTTGTACTCGAATCTAACGGTTACATGATTTATTTTCAAGTAAAATATATAATCATAATTTAAACAACGCAATAACAATTAAGGTAAATTAGTAATTTAATAAAAAACATACAAGTTATAAACAATCAATATTCATATATTTTCAAATATTTCATCGTACTTATTCACATTCATATTACATAAATATTTAACAACTTTCGAAAGATTAAATATTTAATTACCGTAAAGATTTATATTTATTATACCACAACTTCCCTCAAATACTCAAAAGTACAATTGTATATATAACTAGTTTAATATGATATAGGAGATTAAGATTTTATTTATATTAAAATCTAAGTCATGAAAATTTCCTTTAACTTTCATCATTTAACCATTTTATTTATATGATTATAATAATTAATAAAATTAAGATATATCTTATTGAATTCTAAAATCAATATCTATAAATTAACAAATATAAGAATACCTCATTAGTTCACACATTATAACACATTATCGCAATTGCACAAAATCTCATCACAACATATACCATTTTACAAATCATAATTTATCATTCAAAATCATATATTCCAACAAATTTCATGGTTGATATTATATTTAAAAACATTATTTAATCAATTTAGTAATTAACTTAACATTTCAAAAGCAAAGACCTATAACAATTAATTTTATTCAATTCATGAAAGCCTTTTTAAAACCATGAAGAAGATTTTTTTTATATATTTTTGAAAAAGGCTTAATGAAATCTGAAAACGTTGAGTAAATTTTAAATTTGATGAACGAAAATCAGTTGAACAAAATTTATACAAAATTGAACTCTCAAAATTATCTCAAATTTGTTATGCAAATTTAAAAGCATTGAGATTTAAACATTTTCAATACTATCATAAATTTGTTGAGCGAAATTAAATTTGTTGGACATATCTATAATAATTAAAAAAACTTCATCATCTAACAAATATCCAATTTTCAAAACCTTTAATCAAAGCAAATTGAAACACTATCCTCCAATTCTCAAATTTATTCATTTAATTCAATATAAGTATATTACGACAACACAAAATACTAATATTATTTCAATCTCATAGAAAATAATTATCATCACATTCAACTCAACTATAGTCATCACAAAATCAATACACAAAATCACATAATCCAATATCTTATAAATCAAGAAACATAACTAAGTCACTTTCACCATCCATATCATTTATTATAGGTTCTAAGAAATTGAAAATTAACTTCCCTTGACTTTCAATTTCTCCTATCAAGTGAAAACCCAAAAAATTCTCAAATATAAAAGATGTCAAATCTTACTCACGAGAAAAATTCAATCAATAATTTGAATATCACTTTGTTCCACTACAAAAAAATGAATTTTGTGTGAAAAATTAAATTCATTACAAAAAAATTTGCGACGAAATTTTTGACGAGTCGCCACAAAATTAGGTATCACAAAGTTTTTGAGACGATTTTTTTTACTATAATAAATAATGAAAAAAATAATACCATCATAAATAAATACATATTTGTCACAAATTTATTATTTGATTTAAAACCTTATTTTGTCACAAAAATTCTAGTTGCTTAAGTTCATCTATAAGTGACCTTCCCTTGAGTAAGAAATATATATCTTTATAGAATGACAAAACATACTAACTCACTCTATTTTGGCTCATCTCGTCTCTAGTCTACTAAAAATGGGACTGAACGACTCGATCCGTCGTAATCGGGACACTAGTCCATCCTCGTTAAAGGGCGGATCGATGGTTAGCGGACCAATAATTTTTTTATATGTATTTTTTTTAAATATATCTTTAATTATATAAATAATTTTTAAGTTTTTATATATTAATTAATATTTTTGTTAAAACAATTAAAAAAATTACTATATTTATATATTAAAATAACTAATTATATAATCAATAATTTAAACCTAATTGATTAAATTTTTATAATTTAATTTATAATATTATAATATATTTATATATTTTAATAATATAACACACACAAATATAATATTTTAAATTATAATCATTTTATTTTACTATATAAATATTTTTTTTAAGTAGGTTAGTCAATCACATCCCACTCTTTGTCTGTCAAGTTGGTGGATTAGGCGTGGTGGAACAAAACAAACTAAAATTACTAATTTACCCTGTCATTTTTAAGGCGAGCTAGTTGGCCGGCCCTTTGGGCCTAACCTATTTTGTCATCCCTGTCACTTTGAGTGAGTTTTGCTTAAGCGAGAAATATTTCACTTTAAATACTTTGCTTAAGTGTAACATATATGAATTGAAGTTTATGACACATGTCAGTTATTTGTTTAAGTGAGTCTAGCATAAATAGGGACACAAGTGACTTAATCGAAGCAAAATTTATGCGAATGTTTTAAACTTTAATTGATGACAATGAAAAATGAAATATGCTTTATATTTTTAATTAAAATTTTAGATAAAATGCAATAATATAAACTCAAATAATATAATAAATATAAATATTACATTACAATTTTTTTTCTTCAAAATGTTTTATCCAAAAGTAACAAAATAAAAGTAATATCACTAATAATCTTTTAAGAGTGAGTGGCTTAAACATGGGTTAACAATAGTTTAATAGAGAGTTATTTAAGTGTGGATTATCAACTGCTTAAGCATGAGTTAACAACATCTTAAGCAAGTTAAATTTTCGTACTTGGTTGTTTCAAGCGAAAACTAACAATAAGACATCACTCTTATCCTTATTTATGCATGAAATTACACAAAACAAACTCAAAACATAAAAGATAATACTAGAAAAAATTCAATATTAAGACAATTTCCTACTATCTCAAAACAAATGGAACAGTCATACCTCAGCTTTGATTTTCTTCTTTTGCATTTGTGTCACCCATGTTATCATTTTATATATATTAAGCAACTTCTAAAAGAAACTTAGTTAAGAATGAAATATATTTTATTTAAGTAAATGACACACTAATCACATACTTACTTAAGTGATTGATGTCTTCCACTCAAGTGAGTAAGATACAAATTACACTTTCGATTAAATATTAAAATATTACTTTTAATACAAATGTTACATTCAAGAATATTTGCTTAGGTAAACTATAATTTATGTTTAGCTACTGTAACTTAGAAAAAAATTTAAAAATTTACTCAATCTCACTTAAGAAAGGTTAATCTCTCACTTAAATTAGACAAAATTTTTTGTTGAATTTAAGTATAACTTTCACTTAAGGAATAATGGTGGATGTGTTTGTCGCTTAAACCAAGCAAAACTTTTGCCCAAACTATAATAATGATGTACTTATTTCTTATATTAGACAAAACTTCCGTTTAAGCAAGAACGATAGATGTTCTTCTTGTTTAAGCTGCCATACATTCTATTATAAAAATTATTACTTTTTTCACTTTTTAATTATAAATACCCTATCACACTCCCTTTTTCAAACTTACTTTCTAACTCAAATCTCACGTTTGCATGCAGTAAATACCCTAAAATTTGTTTTATCTATTTTCCTTTCCATAACATTTTTAGGTATGTTCATTCAAATTATTTATTTTTATAATAGTTGTTTTGTCTCATTAAATCTTAAACTGTTTAGTTAGGATTACATTTTATTTGGTTTTGAACATGGAACAAGAAACGTCGAATGAAATAATGACAAAAATGTTTGAAGAAAGTTGGTTTTATCTTCCTATGAGACCCTGTATGGAACATAAGAAGTCTTCCCAAAAAGACTAGAAACTAGAGATGGTGGAAGTTTGTCTAACATCAAAATCAATTTAGTAAAAGAATGATAAAGGATTTTTTTACTAATGCATGTCATCATAGGATTATATTTTATAATATCGAATTAAAAAATACTAAATATAAATACTTGATATAAAAAAACTAATTTTTACTTAAGCGCAAGTACACTTCGACTCAAACTTAAACCAAATTATTTTTGCTTAAAAAACATTCACCTAAGCATGACTTAATAAACACTTACCGTAATTAACACATAAGCGAAGTAAGTGGCAGACCTTTTAAGATATAAGGGGACCATGATCTTTCAATTTTTTTAAAATTGTATTTAATAATAATAATAATAATAATAATAATAATAATAATAATAATAATAATAATAATAATAATAATAATTTATTTATATTTTTGTTTGATATTAATAAGAGTATAGGTAAATGAGTAATATTTTAAAATTTTATTCGAGGAATAAAATATAAAAAAATAGGTAAATAGAGATACAACTATTAAACATATATAATCTTCGTAATACTTAGTTTAAGACAAAATAATACCGAAATTAAATAGATATAGATATATAATCTAAAATTCTTGACTTTTATTAAAAATGTTAATGGGTATATATATTAATAGGATGCTTTATACTTTTTATAATATGATCACATCTATGATAGAGTAATTAGTGACATATTATTTTTATTATAAAATTTTGTTATTAAGATAAATAAAATTATATGTGTTGTAATTTGTGTAACAATATTTCTGAGACTATCCGTAATATTATTAAAAAAAAATATATATATATATATATATATATATATATATAATTTTATCACAAAATTCATAATATTATCACATATTTTGTCTAATTTATGATGAATTCTTAATTTTTTTTATAATGTTCTTGAACTAATTAATATTTATATTTATCCAACAAAACTTATATGTTGCTAACTTAAGTCCCTCAAACCAACACAAAAAAAAATGTTCTAAAAAGATAAAGTTTTTTTTTTTAATTTTGATTTGACAGAAATGATCGTCTTTATTTTAAGAGTATTAAAATGAGTTTAAATAAAAATTTAAAAAATTTAAAGAGACAAATAAAAAATCTAGAGATATGATTTTATGAATATGCAATTTTTAATAAATAAGTTTTTTTATTTATAATATTTTTAGTTTAATTAATAAAATTTTAAATTTTATTACACTAAATTGCTTTTATTTCTAACTTACTTAAATTAGATCCTTATAATATAATATTATTCACAAAAGAGAAAAGCAATTTGAAATTAAATTAGAAAAATCAATTTAATGAAAATATATTTCTAAATAGTAAACCTTTGGAAGTTATAATAATTAAAATTAATAAAACTAATTTATAAACTTAATGATTTTCCTTGACAATTAAAAATTGAATGATAGGTAAAGATAAGATAAAATATTTAATTATATTAAAATAAATATTAGTCATAATTATTTTATGAAAATTTGATAAAATATTTTAATTATATTAAAATTAAATATTTATATAATTATATATAAAATATATATTTTACTCTTTATTTTTAACTATGATATGTTTTAAATTGTTGAGGTTTAATTAAACGTAGAAAGTATGAAGTTTTAAAACTAACGGATGATATATATGAGATATTTTTTAATGCTATATAGATAAAGATAAAATTGTTATAATTTAAAGAAAATAATAATTATAATTTATATATTTACACAAATAATAAAAATATAAGAAGGAGAAAAAAGTAAACATATTTAAAAAAGTGATAAAAAATATTTTAAAGGAAATTATTGAACTAAAAGAAACAATAATATTATAAATGATAAAAATATTTTTCATAAAAAATAAAATTTTTATTTATATTTACCTTATGTATGAAATAATGAATATGTTACTTCATTACTACATACCTAAATAATTAATTGTCTTAATTTTTTAATTATTCTTAAGATAATATATAAAAATTAATGTAAAATGTCTGTAATAGGAGAATAAAAAAATTACAAAGATTAAAATCGAATAGAATTTTATTTTGTCAAAACTTAAAACATCTAAATCGTATAATTAACTATAAATTGTTATCTACGTTTTCCTTGCACTTCTATCTTGAAGAGAGGAAAGTTCATTTCTTAATTAACTTTTAAAAATATTAAAACAAAATTAAAAATGTTCACAATTTTTATTTATTCCAGCCTCATTCTTATTATAATGAATATTTTTATCATATTTTAATTTTACTTTTCTTTTAAAATATTCATTTATTCTTGAATGCGAGTGATTGTTTTAGAAAGAAATAAGAGGGACATATATTGAAAATATTATTATTGTGATAAACATAAAAAAAATTGATATAAGTATGACAAACATGTGTTTATCAACAAGAGGCTTATGGACGAGTCTGGAAGGAAGAAAACAAACAAGCCAGAGCGACAAATTATACAAACTCTAAAATTAAAAGAAATAAATATAATCTCTTCCGTACTTTTTATTTATCCTTTAAATATTATTTTATTATTTTTAATCAAATAATTATAAAAAACCATAAGTAAAATATTTTTTTTAATGAAATAATCATAATAAATATTTGTAGTTAATTTTATGTGGCCTAAATCATTAAATTAAATTATGTATATAATTTTAATTATAATAAATTTTAATTTCGAGATAAATTATAATTAATAATATATATATATATATATATATATATATATATATATATAAAATCGAAGTCATTAAATTGATGATTCCGCAGTAAATCATTTTGAAGTAACATAAATAAATTGTTTTTACCTATTTTTCTGTTAAATGATATTTAAATTCACATAATGATAATATCTTTAATGAATTGATTAAAATATAATAAAATAATTAATAAAAATAAAATAATAATAATAAAAAATATCTTAATTATATTAAATATAAATATTCATGATATTTATAGTATACAAAATATGTTTTATCAAAAGTTCATTTATTTTTTATTTTAAATTTGGGTAAGACTAAAAGTTGAGGTAGCCACAAGAGTAGTCACGTGAACAAGCAGACATCTTACGTCAGTTACAGTAATCTTAGACATATGGAGGGTGTTTCACATGCCTAGCTAGTGTTCTTCCAAAATCACGTCCTTTTCCAATTAATTTAACACGACAATATTTTTTTTCTTATTTTTTGCATTTTTACATCAACGCGTGACATTTGTTATTTGAGTAACATGAATTGTTTTAATTAAGTTTTTCTTTTTCTTTTTTGAGTGTTTTATTTTTTTGTTATTCATCGTCTTCGTCTGCTTTCTCTGGGTCTCTTTTTTTTCTTCCTTATTCTTCTTCGCACAATCCTTTTTCTAGATAATGCTAAAATTAAAAGAATTAATCATGTTCATACTTATTAGGTATATCTTACTGTTTTGATTTTGTTTAATTCTATTGTGTATATTTGTTGTTTTTTTAATATATCTTTATGTGTAATTCTTTTTTTCTGTTTGTATCTTGTAATTTTGTTAGTAAATAATGATTCTTATGCATAATAGTTCTATTTTATAATTAATATATGTATATATATATATATATATATATATATATTTTAAATAAAATAAAAAAATATATCAAATTACCTTTTAGATTTTTTATTTATTTCTGGTATTCAATATTTATAATGCTATCTAGAGTTAAAAAAAAATTTTCCTGTCAATTCTCTCGTCGTCAATATTTTTTTCATTTTTTTTCATTCTTTTTGATTCATGGTTAGTGTCTTCAATCTCAAGTCTTCTTTTTTTATGGTGTCAATTTCCTTGTTGTTAATTGTTCTCTTCTCCTACATAATATCAGAGAAACTATCCAATATCAATTTCTTCTTTAGAAATAGAAGAAAGGTCAGATTCATCGTTCTGTTGTTAATATTTTGATTCCTCTTTAGTGCTTGTCACTTTCTAATAGTAATTCCGAGATTTAAAATTCTTAATTTAGTGATTGAGAAACTCAAGATTAACTTTTTTTTCATAGTTGTAGTTCTCTTTTATCTATTTATTTTTTAACCGTGTTATTGGATGTAAACACTCGTTTTAACTTTATGATAAAATTCACTCTCATTTCAACTATCAAATTAGAGTCAAAGTTTAGCAACTACAAATTAAGTTTCGTACTAAATAGATTAATTAATTTTCTTCTTTAGATTAAAAATCTTGTTGATAGCCTCAACTCTATAGTAGATCTTATTCTTATGAACGAAAAATTTAATATTCTCATTAAAGATCTTCCGATTATATGAATATTTCATCTAACTCATCGACAACAAATCAAATTTGTTTTCTCTTAATGAAATTGAATCCTTGTTGATTATTCTAGAGGTTCGAATTAAACAATTTTAAAAAATGGACACAACTATCTCTCTTAATCTCATTCAAATAAACTCTCAAACGACTTATGTGCAAAATGTTCAACTTCAGCCAATTACTTTTATGTCCTCACCCAAAAATAGGGCTTTTATTTTTTCTCGTGCTGGTTATTATCCGCAAGGAAGAGGAAATCATAGATGTCGCATCTTTGTGGACCAACTCACATTAAATCTTTGTGGACCATCTATAATCATTCATTACAACTATCTTTGTGGACCAACTCACATTAAATCTTCCATAGGTTATAACTATTATGTTTCATTTGTTGATGTTTACAACCGATACATATGGATTTATTTTCTAAAAAAAAAATTATAAAACTCTACACATATTCAAACAATTTCAATCCACTACTGAATTGCAATTAATAAGAGGGAGAAGAAATTGAAAGAAAAAGTCACTCACTTTTTCAAAATACAACCAAAATTCTCAACATTTTCGTATACAGGAACTTATTACTATACTTGTTTTTTCACATTTTAAATCTCCAATAACTCTTAAATCATCATTAATATATTTTAAAAAAATTAATATAAATTATTTAGTCTAAATAATTAAAAAAATCAAGTATTTTGCTAAATAATTCTACTTTTAAATTTTTAATCAAAATAATTGTGAATAATATTAAAACATGTTATCTAAGCCATATCATTTAAGTCATTTATTTAGGTCACTTTAATCCTATCCAAGTTACCTTCTTAAAAATATTCAAAACAGAGTATAACTCTTTTTCACAATTAAATTTATTAAAAATTAAATATATTTTATTACAAAATGAAATGTAAAAGAAAAATAAAGATATTTCATCATGATTTGATGCTCAAGGTCAAACTTTTTTTCTTTTATAAAAGATTTTGTTTGATGCGCACGTAAAAAATTTAAAAAATATATAAAAGATTTGATTTTTATTTTTATCAAATCCTTTAATACTTATTATATTAATAAATTAGGTTGTATACTTGGAGATGTTTCTTTTGAAATGGGTTTCAATATATCATTCTTCTGTTAAAAACGGTTGTAAATGGGACGCAATTATTACTCATGTATAATTTTATTTTATTCATACGCAGGCATGCTATTGATTCATGTTCTCCTTCGATCATACACAGAGAAACATGCACGCCACACCCATGCATATAAATAGAAATAGCAAAGGAGGAAGAATATCAAATGGAGATGCTATAAGGAACACCCTTTGCCGTAACTCCGGCCTCCGACACGGGCTTCAGAAGTTCATAGGGCACAATCCCCGCGCCGTTCCGGTTCCTCCTCGTCCTATCCGCATTCCTCCCATCAATCACCCCTTCAAGCTCAATCAATTTCCCTCTGAACTTCTCAAACGCCGCCTTCACAAGCGGCTCCTCCTCCCACGCCGGCTCCACTGTCTGCCCGAGATACTCCTCGTCCGGCGAGTGATTCGACAGAATGTCCAACACCGTCATCACCGTAGTCGCCTGAACCTGTGATGGAAAACACTTCAACATAGTCACCTCGGGTTTCTCCAAGAACAGCTCCCACTCCGGGTCCGAAGGGTCCTCTATGGGCATTTTGTTGCGCGCAATGGTTGGCCTGTTGGGGAAATACCCCGCGTAGGAGAATTGTCCGAAGTTCACAGCAGCATGGTGCCCTGAAGTTGTCCACGCAATGGTCGTCAGAATTTCCACGAGGTCCTCTCTGGTTTTCAGCACCGGCCACCACGGTTCATCTTTTTTGTCAGCGTGTCCAACGGTTCTGATCTCTTCCCACCAGGCTTGGAGTTCTGTGTCTGATTGAATCGAGTTGGAGTCCGCGTAGTAGTGGTTGACGTATTCGGTGAACCAGGTTTTGAGGGTATCCCAGAGAACGAGGCCGTCGTTGGCGTAAGGATAGTCTTCGATGGTGAGTTTGAGGCCGTGAGGGGCGGTGGGATCCTTGACGGCCATGCCCCTGTGGATGAGGTCCTTGGGGAGGGATTGGAGGTCGAATTGCCAGTGTTTGTCATAGACGATTGAACTTAGCAGAACGGAGTGCTTCCCTGGCGTGAAACTGCTCTCTATTATTCCATTCGCGTTTATCAGAGCCTCGCGAGCAAGCGCGTTGATCTCCATCGTGTAACGAAAATGGGGATGCAGTAATCTGTAGATCGGATGCATTACACTCAGTTGCCTGTTTGTTGCTATAATGTAAGGTTCTGTTGCACAATGAGTTCTTAGCCTGGATTAAAAACCAAATGATCCTGGATCAGTATTTGTATATTCATTGAGAAACTAGTATTTTTAGCATCTAAGACAACCATAAAAAGCCAACATCATCAGTTGGTAATGATTCATAACTCTCAAACATGGTCAACGATTCGAATGTTGTTTGTTACCAGTGACTGACGAGTTGGTGGTAACCAGAGTCGTGAGCGAGGACATGGACTTTGGCGAGCCTCCAAAGCCAGACAGCGGTTGAGTGCCAGGAAGGTGTGAATACTTGCTTCCACTGAGGTTTTCCATCCATTGGTGGCCGAGTTAGCTCAATAGCCAGTGGTCTTAATGTGCCTTCGTGGGTTAGGAAGAACACTGTCCTTGATCCGTATAGCGTTGTGCCTTCTAGTTTTCTCACATCCTCCACCAATGGCAATAACAAATCGTGGTAGTCCAGGATGAACAGTTTCTTCTGTTTTATCGCCTGCATTAATTTCACATTTTCACGGCTAAATGTTGCATCATAAAATATTTTTATAATTTAAAGCTAGGAAAGTCATACTGATATGCATGCGTGTGGTATTCATACTTGCATTAGATCATATATACCTCTTCGATTGGCAAAAATCCTTTTATTTCCCGCTCAATTATTTCAGTAGTGATGGCTGATTCCGCAGGGCCATAAATTTTAGGATCAAGTTTGCTTTTCAATGGCCATTCCTACAGCACACGAAATTTTTTTTGGTGTAAAACACTGATTAAAAAGTTAGTATTCATCACCTTCACTACAAGCATTGATGTTAACCAATTTATCCTGATTCAATTCATAAAAACACAAAGACTGAACAAAATATACCGTGACCAACTGGATACAACAAGGGTTAAGCCCCGCTAGGGTCTGTCGTCCAAATTCTTCGTCCCTTAACCAAAAGAACCTATCCTCTGCCATTGGAAAACCACGCACATGCAACCACAATAGCATTGATTAGTAAGCAGTAACCTAAAAATCATGCAAATTCACAGAAATATGAATGATCTTACTGTCCATTGTTGCGGGAGAATGGAAACGGAGAATTTCCTGCTCTGTGTCCTTAACAAACCTGACGATCCTGGGCAAGATAGTTTTGAAAAGCCCTTTTTCTTTTTGAGGAGGCAAGCTAAGCCCTTCATCGAAAAGATCGTCTATGGATGAGAACACCGGAAACCCTAGATTCTTGTCAACTATCATTGTCGACAGGGCCGGTACCAGAGCATGCAATGCCGAGTATAACGTCTTTGTCTGAAACGTCATTTGCTTTACTGCAGAGAAGCATTCGTCTCTAGGCACGTACACCGTGTTACTTTTTTTCTCCGACAATGGATCTGTTCATCCAATAAAAAATTATTAGAAAAAATATTTTTTTACAAAAAAAAATTATTAATTTATTTATTATTAAAATAAAAATATTTAATTAATTTTAAGAATCATCTTATCATTTATTATAATTAATAAACGGAGATGTGTAGTTTAGAATGAGGTTAGGTTATACATATTGTGGTTAGGATGACATTTTGTAAATCTAGGGCATATTCTATTTTTCTTAAAGTTTTATTACATAAAAATTTTGAGCTTTAATAAACTAACAGAGAGCAAAATAAAATTTGTTTGGTAATTTTAAAGTAGTACAAATTTCTTAAATGTGATTTGTGATGAGAAATATTAAATTTAAATAAGTTAATTAACATAAATATAAAAAGTATTTAATAAGTTCTTTTTCACTTATTTAAACAATTAAAAAAATAATTAGTTTTATATTTATTTGAGTTATACCACATTTATTTTATTTTTGTTTTTGTTTTGTTTTACACAATTGTGAAATGAATCAAAGTGTACCACGGACATTATTACATGCAAAAAGATATTTTCACATTCGACATTTATAAACATCGTCATTACTCTTATTGAATACAGTTGAAAGAAAAAAATGATGATATTTTAACACAAAAAATAAAAATAATCATTCCACAACTCCCTTTTACATTTTTATATTATTATTTATTTATTTTTCTTACTTCTCTCCCTCTATTAATCAAAATATTATTATTGTAAGGAAAAAAAAAATGTAGTTAGACACGTTGTGCAGACCCTTGTCACACACGGTCTAACTCATTACTCAATTCATGATTGTGGATATTTCAGAGTTGGAAAGCAACGGGACGATGCATTGCAGGTTCACAGGGAATCCACCACACACATAAAGAGGGATACTCATACGTTGTTTCTTTCGTCTTTTTGTCTCTTTATAGCATATTTTTACTGTCATTGCATTATACCTTTAATTTATCTTCTTTTTTTTTTGTTAATTCTGTTTATCACTTCTTATTTTAATGCATTTTTTCACTAACAAGTAGAAATTTCATATTTGATACCAATAGAAAAGTTGATTAATATTTAGGAAAATGACTGATAAACTCATTATCTTAGGTTTTGAGACGAAGTAGTCTCTAATTTTTTTGTATGATAATTTCATGATGCGTATCTATTTCTCTTAGAGAAGGTGGATAAACTTGTTTTAAAAAATTTCTACACATTTTTTCAATCTAACTATTTCTTGAGAAAGAATTCATGCGCGTGACACACTGACAGTACCTGTGTTGCAGCGTGGTCGTCCTGTTCTGCAACGCCTTGGATAGGGATGCTCTGTGCCACCAAGAACAGGTCTCTTGAGATCGATGCTGCTATCTGGATCTCCAAGGTCGTTGTAGACATCGTAATCGTAGATTCTCTCAAAGCACTTGCGTTCGCCTTGTCCATTCCCACGTAAAATTTTTAGTTCCTCTTCTCTTAGCCTCTTCACTCCTTCTGGTGTTTCTGATGGCAGATATGACTGTTTCATGTGCAATCATTCATCACATTCAAAACCTTCAATGGAATGAAAAATGTATATATAAAAAGTGGAGGTGGTGGAGAAACCTTGTTGGGGAAAAAAACCCTGTTGACAGGGTTATCATACTTGGAGTGAATCCAGGAATTGCAGGAAAATTTTACTGGACCCAAGATGAAGCCATCAAGTACAATTTCCTTGATGAACGTTTCCCTGTGGTGTTCATTCTCCACGAAGATCGCCCCAACCTCTCCAAAGCTTTCTGGCACTTCAAACTCAGCCTCATACTCAACCTCTTGTGATGATTGATGCGTCCTGTGGGCGTAATGTTTGATGGTTTTCTTCTCCAATTTCGTTTCTTTTTGTCAAAACAAAAATCAACACCACAGATAATGGTTATTAACACTCTTTATTTTTATTTTTCTAATTTAATTAAGCAAATTGCTCAAACCTAAACGATGCCTTCAAAGGGCACACACTCAAAATAGAAATTGCAATATATGGTGGTTAAATGAGTCAAAATGAAGACCAAATTAAATATATGTCAATATTTGTTTTAGTCTTTCTAATTTTACTTTGAAAACATGGTGGTAATGGTACTAGATACTTTTCCAACATCTAATTATATATATACAGAAACTATATTATTATGAGAATAAATAATATATTAAACCTTTTTTGCTGATAAGAAAGTTACTGGATGAAATCTTATTTTCCAAAGTCACTTTATCATACTAAAACAATTTATTACTAATGTTAGTTATTAAAAAAATTTAATCCGAATAAGTTCATTTCTAATTTATTAAAATTTTTGATTACTTATTAAAAATTAAATTTTAAATTAATGACTAATTTTATTATTTTAGAGATCAATAATCTAACTTTTATTAGTTGTCCTTTTTTTTATCACACAAAATATATACTAGTGAAAAAAAAGTGTTATTGATGTTTTTTCTAGTCAGATTAGTTTTTATATGATAATGATAAAAAAATTGTAGTAGTATTTTTAAAATCAAGATTAACTATTTTACCATTAATTATTTTATATGTAAACTAAAGATGATAAAATGAGTTTGGTTAAGTAGTCAATTCATTCATTTTAGTATGTTGCACCTGATTCGTCAAGTCGACGGATAAGTTCATTCGTTATTCGTTTTAAAAATATAATTATATATTAAAAGTAAAATAATTATAATTATAAATATTTTTTTATCTTGTTGAAATATATATAATATTATAATTTAAATTATAAATATTAATCAATTAAATTTAAATTATTAAATATATCTAGATATGTTAATATACATGTATAATAAATTTTAATTTATTTAATAAAAATATTAATTAATAAATAAAAACTTATAAATTATTTATATAATTAAAATTATATTTTAATATATATATATATATATATATATAATTTATATTAAAAAAAATTGGTGATTATGGCAGTTCAACCCATCTATCTCTATTTACATTTTAGTATTGTTATTATTATTCTGTTATTGTCAAGATTGTATTATTAGTGTAATCTTATTTTGTCTACGCCACTATTTGTGACAATACTTCATCGACTGTGAAACTTTGTTTTTATTTTTTTCGTTATGATTTTTTTATTTGAAATTGAAATTTTGATGTTCTATTTTTTAAACATCAAATAATATGAATTTTTGTCAAATAAATCTAAATTTATGTTTTTCAATTAATAGTAGATTTTAGTCAAATATAAAAATTCGAAAATAACTTACGAAAAAAAAAACTTTTGTGTAAATATTAGAGTCTATTAAATTGAATAATAGAAAAAATCACTCCCTACATGATTTTAAAAATACAATTCTTTCACAAATAAAAAAAATTATAATTATTTGTGAAAACTTCAAAAGAAAAATGAAGAATGTTGTAATAGACTTACTGGGATGAAGCTCAGTGCTTGTAAGTTCCAGGAGAAGTGATTTGCCCATCAAATCCGTGATATCATCCATCCCTCGTTCTATAATTGTTTCTGAGAAAATCCCACCAACCGTTGGCAGAACAATTATGGTGGCTTTAACTTTCACCGATCTGTTTTCAATTTCACTCACAGCCACGGCTTTGATCTTGGTCCCTCCATTTCTGCAACCATAACTCACCCTTTTCTGCTTCCTTTGGACTGGGAACGATGATGGCCTCCGCGACCATAGCTGAAAAGAAAGATGAGGTATTGCATGGAGGCATGGCCTTTGAGGGATGAGATAACTTGCACTTGAATTTGATACATGAATTTTTTGTATCACCATTTTTTTTTTTCTGCTTCTGCTTCTGTATGTGACCTTGTTTTTCTTAGTTTAGCATGAACTGAGTGAGAAAGATTATGTATAAATAAACAAAGGATAAGAGGTTACTGTAGATATTTTTACGAAACTCATTTCATTTACTGTGATTTCCACGTGCTTTAATAACTTGGAAAATAAAGATAAGTTGTACTTGAATTCATCATACAAGTAAGTAGTAGAGATTTTCTTTGTTTAAATAACTTGGTTTTAATGCTTATTATCGATTTAATTTTTTTACATTACACACACTATAGTATTATAACTCTATAAACAACTTCATTATTGTTAACAGAATTATTATATCTTATTTAAATAAGTTAAGTTTAATGTTACATTTTTTATTTGGATTTTATTATATGGTATTAAAAATTTAAATATATTATTTATTATGGAAAATTGTATTTTAATAAAACATTTAAATGTCACCGTGAGATGTAAGTTAACATTTTAAAAAATAAATAAAAAATATAAATAATTTCAACTTTTTCTTACAATTAAATATACCTCTAACCTATGTTTGGATATAAAGAAAAAAAAGTGAAATGTAATAAAACTTCGAAATTTTATGCAAATATTAAAAAAAATATTTCCTTATTTTTGCAAAAAGAAATACTCCATAATAATCGATGATGTAGAATACAATAATTGTTATATGATAATTTTAAAAAATTATAATCACATTAAATAAATGAAAAAAATATTTTTTATTTTTATTTATTTTCCCACATTTCTTATATTTTTATTTTCTTCCCTAAATTAAAATAATTCTATTTTCTATTATTTTTTCTTTATTTATCGTTTTTTATTTTCTCAAATCCACTTTCTATCCAAACGAAAATATAACGTTAATAAAAATGCTTAAATATGACGAAAACAAGTGGACGGAGTGATTTATTTAAATAAAAGTTTATTATTCATCATGGTTATGTACTTTAAACCTTTCTCAATCACGAAATGATTGCACAGTAATTTATGACCACTTATAGCTCATGTTACAATTTTTAAATTTTCTTAATATTGAAAAAATAAGCACAAATTTAAGATGTTTAACATCACACAAAAACAAATTTTTGGAAGAATTTTATTGAATTATTTGTTTGTCTTTTCAGGTAATACATTTAGCTTTTACAATATATTTTATAATATATATATATATATATATATATATATATATATATATTCATGTTGAGTTGGTATTTGAAAAATAATTATTTACAATCATTGTATGATTTGTTTTTTCTTTTATTTTAACTTATAGTAATGGAATAAGAGGAATGATTGAGTGCCTCTGATAAGCTTTTGAGCTGTCAGACTTTGTTAGGGTTTTTATGATATGATTTAGCGTCTTCATTTATTTCGATGTTTCTGGAAAATTAAAAATTAAATTTTTGTAATTCAAATCTCAAACAGTGTGTCGCACAAACTCTGTCTACTCTTCATCACCCAAATCCTATCCACACTAACTAGAATAATTATAAAAAACAAAAAAAAAACACTTTCCTCCACAAAATAAAGGTGCTTAAATAGTATGACGATGTTGATGTTACGATAACGTGTACAAAATATAAAGATATTGGGTAAGATTTTCTTTTTGATATTTTTTTTCATTTTTTATATGATTTTTTAATAAAAAATTATTATTTAATAAAAGGATAAACTAGTTACTATTTAGATAATTAATACTTTATTTATAATTATTTTATCTTTTATCAAATAAATAACATTACTTATTTAATTAAATGTAAATTATTAATTACTTAAATAATCACTGATTTTTTAAAATAACTTCTTAATTTTTAAAATTAAATTTATTATATTTATATACCAAACACATAATAAAGATATGAACTGTTAAAATGTTTATAATATAGAAAATTAAATTATTTTATTTATATAAAACTATATTTGATTAACAATTTTTTTAATACTCTTGAAATGTAATTAGATTTTATATTTGGAGGTATGAAGAAGTTTAAGCTCCAGAGTTCAATTTGTTTTGGAAATTTTAAGATATAGAGAAAACTAATTAGTAACTAAAATTATTTTCGTTATGCAGGTATGTCGTCGAATGTTAAAGTGGAAAATTGGTTGTGTAATTATTTAGAGAAGTTAATTTATTATAATATTTAAGTCAAAAAATTATTTAAATAATAATATATTTGGAATGAATATACGTATATTTGATTATATAAAATATATATTAGAAAATATATTAAATATGCTATAATTTTAAGTTGAAGGTATATCTTGAAATTTGGATGATACGTAAAATAATAAAAGAAGTTATTAAGTAGATGTTCACTTATGTGAGACTATGTCACTTGAGTGAAAAAATTATTAAAACAGATAAAATTGATATGATAAAGATTTTGTTTAAGTGATATATGAATTCTCAAGCATCAGGTAGATACCGAAGAGTAAGAAGCTTTTTAGAGAAGAAAAAATTACCTTTGCTCAACAATCA